CGTGATAGAAAAAATAGGATAAAGGAAAAACGAAAAGGAAAAGAAAAATTCGTTAAAAAACACCTTCCTTCCCCGTTGTAAATTGTAATTTCGAGAATATGGATATAGTTGAAGGTATATCATTATGTGGGAACAGAAAGATAAATGAAACAACGAGAAGAAGCGCGCTCCCTCTGGAAGCGAAACTGATTGCCTTGTAGAGGCCTCGTTCTCCAAATATCCGCGGATTTGAGGCGGAAAGCCGCGTTTAAAAGAAAGGAACAAAAAAAAAAAAAAATTTCCCGACAACGTTTGCGAGAGGAGGAGGAGGAGGAGTGAAATAATTCCTTCCTTCCATTCACGCGTCCTCGTTTGCGCGTACACCGTGTTGTTTCGTGTTACTCGGAAATTTATAAAGTTTTTCACATTTGGAAAAAATGTGGCCAACCCTCCCTCGCCTTCGTTTCCCCAAAGTTAGCCAACATTTTTTATAGAAAATTTACGATAAACGCGTTATAAAAAAAAAAAAAAAAAGAAAAAGAAGAAAGAAAAACTCGAAGCTTATTCTTCTTCGAAGAGAGAAAAAAAACCAAAACCTGAACACGTACGCATAAGAGAGAAAAATTTCGCGTAAAAATTCGCGATTCTCTGATCACCTGAAAGTTTGGACCTGAAAAAAAAAAATAATTCCTCCCGGAGATGCCATTTATTCCCTAAATACCATTTGTACGAATCGGCCGTAGTTGGATGGATAACCGCGTCATAACAATAAAGGGGGGAAGGAATGCGAGAAGGGAAAATCAGATTTGCGTGGTTCCGCGAGATTATTTTCACGGGGCGGAGGGGGGGAGGGGAGGGGAGGGGGAGAGGAGAAATCAGCGGAGATGCCGACGTGGACGTGGCAATGTCCTCCTTCCTTCGGCCACGTTTTATAATGCCGGAAAATAATAAGAATTTTCGTGTGCTTAGTCCCCCTTAGGGGGTGCTTACATCCCTATTTATGACGACAGTATCTCGGCCTCTTTATGCCAGCTGCCTTGCAAATATGCGCGGCTCGATCCGCCGACTCGCGGCGGCCCGCTATTTTCCCCTTCTCCCGCTTCTCCCCCTCGCCCGATTTTGTGGCAGAGGAGGAGAGAGAGGGGGGGGGGCGATAATGGAGACGAAGTTACGCATCTCGCGTTTTTCACCTCACCCTTCCCCTTCCTTCCTTCCTTCCTGTCTCCCTTAAACGATGATGACGAGAGACCGCGTAATCGGCCGATTTCCTCGGCCGGAATCACCGCCGAAATGACGAGATTTTCTCGAATCTCAGCGGTTTTCGTACGATATAGTATATCGTAGTACGAGCAACGCGAAATTTTAATTTTTACTCTCGTTGCTGATTTCGAGGTTACCAAAAATAATTTTGCTTTCTTGTGGAATGGCAATTATCCTTCCTCTCCCTCCTCGATATTCCCTCCATTTATTTTTGGGAAAAAGGGGTGATTAAAGAGATGGAGGAGGGAGCGAAATGAAGAGGTAACGCAAACGTCAGCTCAGCGAGGATGGACGAAATTGTTTCGAAGGGTGGACCGTAGAACTTTCGAAGAAGGGAAGAGAAGTTGGGGAAACTGTATAGCAATCCCCTAGTGGTAAACTTCATCTCGCCAATCACGAATCTGTGCACAAATATCGGTATCGAAGGAGGGAGATTCCATCTTTCCATACCATTTTACGTTTCTTCCTTGAACAGGGTTGAAAGCTCGCTTCGGATCGCGACAACACCGGATCCTTTTCATCTTCATTTATCTTCCCTCCCCCCTCAAGTTGGGAGACCCTCTGAGCGTCGTCCCTCTTCACACATTTGCCACACATTCACGACGAGGAGAGACCTTAGCAGGTTCGAGGCCACGAGGACACATATAGCATAATAACGAGGCATGAACATGGCGCGAACAACGCGGCCCGCTTTATTTCACCATTCCTGAAATATCTCGCGACCCTCTGAAATCACTTGCTAACTCTCGCCCTCTTCCTCCTCCTCCTCCTCCTCCTCCCCGTAATGCCTCTCTCTTCCTCGCATTCGCAACCGGCTTAATGCGCGGAACGGTAACTCATTCGAGACTCGTTCCATTCCCAGGGTGGAATGGATCTAACGTGGAGGAGAAACACGAAAATAGAATCTCTCCTCGATTTGTTGTCAACGTTGAGATAACGTTGGAACAACGTAGAACGTTGCTCGTTGGCGTAAGTTGTATGACGATAAGTTGTATGACGAGTATAGTGATTTTGGAATTTTTTTTTGGAAAGCAGGATGTCACGATATTTACGTAACCATTATTTGCCATTACTTTTTCCCCTTTTGATACGTTGGGCTAAATTGGGAGATTGATACGCGACACTAGCGCCACGTGACACATTAACTACTAATGGTTAGTTAAGACATTGCTTGCGCTCGATTTATTTAGATGCATTTCTATTTTTGAAAGTGGAACGCTTGAAATTGGATGAAATGGATGTATATTAATAGAGGAGCCCGAACAAGTTCTTTTCTTTTTTTTTTTTTTTTTCCACATTTTCTATATAAATTTCTCCGATGTAATAAAATCAATTCCCAAAAGGTGCCTATAAACGAGGAAAGAAATTTCAGGGAGGGAGTATCTAAAAACTGTATCTATCCACTGGTCTATTCTTATGGGGGATGCAGTGTGCAAAACGAAGCCATTTCGTGACAGCCGATCTATCAAACCAACCTAGATCGAGACTTTTAATACGCTGGAATTTCCCGCGAGAGCAAACCTCCTCCCCTCCCTCCCCTCCCGCGCCACCCACCAGGGTTGGATAGGCACGTACAATGGAATTATGGTTCCCCTATGTTCCCATTACTATGCCATCTACGTTATGCGTCTCTCTATGCGCCCTTCCACTGTCTCCTTTCGCCGCCCTTAACGACGCCCTTCGCCGTTTTATGACCTTGGCAAATAATCTCCCTGTAACTGACCGTGTCTTCGCCCGGGGAGGCGAACGACCTTTGATCGATGCCACCACCATCCCTCCTAATGCCTCGATACGAGCGGCTGTTTACGGACCATTTTGTCACCCCATTGCGTTAAACCCCATTAACTTTTGCGAGTGTGTAAGATGGGCATGATACGATTTTATTTTAATTGCGAACTTCGAACGCGATCCCTTGCTTCCTAATTCCTCGATATCGAGCTGATCGAGTTGTGGCGATGGCTTACCATTTCGTTACCATTAACTTATTAACCTTTGTGAATTTATAAGGATATGATTCGATTTTATTTTTTAATCGGAAGATTAAAACTTTGGATCTTTCTCGCGGTATCTTTCTCCTCGAATGGTGCCATTTTGTTACCATTATCTCATTAACTTTTGTGAATTTATAGCAATATGATTCGATTTTATTTTAATCGAAGAATTAATACTTCGGTTCTTTTTTTCCTAGATGGTGCCATTTTGTTACCATTATCTCATTAACTTTTGTGAATTTATGGCAATATGATTCGATTTTATTTTAATCGAAGAATTAATACTTTGCGGTTCTTTTCTTCCTGGATGGTGCCATTTTGTTACCATTAATTTTTATAAATTTACGACAATATGATTCGATTTTATTTTAATTGGAGAATTAACACTTTGCGGTTCCTTTCTTCCTCCCTGGATGGCACTATTTTGTTACCATTGTCTCATTAACTTTGTGAATTTACGAGAATGTGATTCGATTTTATTTTAATCGGAGAATTAACACTTTCTTTTCTTCTTGGATGGTGCCATTTTTTTACCATTAATTTCATCTCATTAATTTTTGTGAATTTATTACGAGAATGTGATTCAATTTTATTTTAATCGAAGAATTAATATTTTGCAGTTTCTTTCTTCCTGGATAGTGCCATTTTGTTACCATTATCTCATTAACTTTTGTAAATTTACAACAATATGATTTGATTTTATTTTAATCGGATTGAACTTTGGATACAGTTCTTTTCTTGCTGGATGGCGCCATTGTTTTAATAATTTATTCGTCAATTTATAAAGATTTGATTTTATTTGAATTGGAAGATTTGACATTTTGGATCGAGAAAATCGAAGGGTGGATATTGATTTTTGATGAGTATGGTAAATATAATGAAATCTAAAATGTACACGTATCTTTTTTTTTTTTTTTTTTTGGAAAAGTTCAATAATCGTAGAATAGAAAATTTTTAGGATACGTTCGCGTGTTAATTGGGAAAAAGAATAGCGATGAAGAATTTATGCAGAACCACGAATATTGGAAAGTATTGATTTGATGTCGGTCTACATCGTTATTTTTATAAGATAATATAAATCTTGCAGTGGTCATATTATAAATAGTTGTTTGACCTGAAAATTTCTTTTATAATCTGACTAAATTGGGATGTCGACTGTAAAGATGATTGAACCGATACGATTTGGACTTTTATACGTAAAATCTATAAATATTTTTCTTTTCCTTCGACGTTGACAGTCTAATAAATACATTATTTCACGTTTTAAATAATAAAGTCAAGAGATTCGTAATTGAATCTCGATCGTAACGCGATTATCATCTTGGAAATTATTAATAATGCCCTAATGCATTGAAACGTAATTAACAAATTGTACAATTGTAGATTGTGAACGCACAGTCTGATATTCGTGCTCTTATAAAATTCCAATGAAGATTTTAAGATTAATTGACGGGAGAACATGACGGACCGTCTTATTCGATATTCAATGGAAACAATAAGGTATTGTCTTATACCAATTCACCGCAACTTTTTCCACCATTTTAAAAACAGTTCAGTTCAGACTTTCCCCCCTCGTATTTCTCATGTCTGATTTACTACACTATCGTCTCTATCCAAATTGACCATCGATTTTCGAACGATATTTAATTAAGGAAATATCGGATGATGAGTTTCATTGTATCAGATTCGAAACAATTTTTTTCTTTTTTTCATTTAAACTGTAATACCGAGCAGATGTTTTAACCGTGAAATTTTTCTTGGTTTTTTTAGATCCGAATTTCAAGGAACCAATTGCCAATGTAACTGCTCCAGTTGGAAGAGAAGCAATTTTGTCTTGCGTGGTTCAAGATTTAGCTGAATACAAAGTGAGTTTTTATTATATTTGTATTTGATCGGAACGAGTATTAATAACAATTGAGATAAATCGCAAGAGAAGAGAAGATTATCGTAAGAAATTTCTACGTATTTTCTCACGTTTACAAGGGAATTAATTTTTTTTTTTTTTTTAATCTTTAGAATCTTTATATAGCAGAATTTTTTCTCATTCTCTCACCAACCTTCGACTACAACAGTCCACGAATAAACAGAAAGAGAAATTGCTTATTGAAATTTCTAAGTGATCTAAGTCTCCAAATCTAACTTATCCTAAACACCGTCACACTTCTGACAACATGACAAAACCAACAAAGAAGAACCTTGACTAACAAACATCTCAAAAAAAAAAACAATTATACATAATTACACCTCTCCAATCAAATCAACGATTCGTGACCCAAAATCGTGATCGACAATCGATATAAAAAATTTCACTCTCTTAAATCGATAAACGAAAACTTTTCCCTCCCTCTTCGTTCGATTCTTTATCCCTCGTTCTTGGAAAACTTGCGACTGGTAAAATAATAAGAAAGTATGTGCAGTTTGCACAATCCAATGCAAACAAACGTTCGACAAATGCTTCGATCCAAGTTTGAAACGCTTGTGGAAATCAAGGGGAGGGGGAGGGAACCGCAATTGGTAACCCTTTCCACGGTTAATACGGCTATCATTGGCAAAGATATTCGAAGATCCGTAATTTATAGATCCGGCGTAAATCCGGATTGGCAGCCTCAGCTCTCGAATTAGCCAAGATCGACGAGTTCTCGCGCTCTCGAAACGGCAAACACTCGGATCTTATCGGTTTCCAGAGACGGCATTCTTGCTTCCTCGTATCTCATTCTCCTAATTAGCGGCTTCCGAGAAGCCATTATTGGATTGGGAACGAATTTTCCAGCGCAACTTCCATTGATCCCGTTGCTCTAATTTGCAAGATAGACAACTCGTGACGTGGCACACCTTGATTGTTATACGATTCTGTAACAGGACAGAACTAACAGATTTCAGTGTTTCAGCGAAAGTAAAGTGAGAAGTAAGAAGTGAATACATAGATTGAAAATTATTAATGTTATAGAATTTAAAGTTCACTGAAATTTTATATATATATATATATGATTTCATTATTGAATGTTGTCAGCAACATTACTATTTCATAATTGGTAGCTATTCGTTTCTATTCGATACACGTATTTCAAATGTTTTATAAACAGATACGTGCAATCACGTATAATCAAATATATATCTATACCCGTATATATTTTATTTATCGTTTTCCACTGCCCAGTCAACAATTAAAACGATCAATTATCTAAAATTTGTTTATTATACATAGGAATAGATTAAAGAAGGGCAATTCGATCATGATAAATTTGTTTAAGATCGAGTTTCGATAGATATTTTTTTAGAGATCAAACCAGTTTTCTTCAGCTTTAAAATTTATCTTATTATATTATTCCTCCTCCGAGAAGAATCTCTCCGCTCACTTTCTCCAAATTTTCCTCGATCTTGTATACGAGTCGCATTAAATTTTACGAAACAACAACAACAACAACAACAACAACAGGAGAGAAGATTAAAATGGAGGCGCACGCGCAGATGGCCATTTCTTTTCATCATCAAGCCCCCGAAATTACACGAATAAAATCGACAGTCTTCCCGACTGTTTCCACCAGAAATATACATTTCCATTCGTCCGCGTAATTTTGTTAATTAATTAACTAACTGTTTCACTCTGTTGGACGGGAGGAACGAAGAGGGGGTTGGGAGGGGTTCGTTGAAACTCGAGAGATGGCCACGAGGATGGAGAGGGACATTCACGAAAGAAGAGAAGGAGGAAGAGGAGGAAGAGAGAAAAAAAGAAAACAGAAAAGAAAGAGAAGAGGGGGAGGAGAGAGAGAGAGAGAGAGAGAGAGAGAGAGAGAGAGAGAGAGAGAGAGAGAGAAATTCACTTAACTTTTTCGTGGCCGTTTAACGAGGTCAACGGGTTAAACAACCTTCCTCTGGATGTCTATGCTCTAGATTCCTTTTTGCCTTCACCCAGTACTTCCAGTAATACCTATCTCCCTCCCCCCCCCCCTCCTTCTTTCCACTCCTCCTCCCTCAAAGGAGTCCACGTTTGAAAATATCAGTAGCCGGTTTTTAAGTAATGGATTTCAATTAAGAAGGGAGATGAAATATCAAGAAAATCGTCGAGAGAGATCCATTCACCCATTCCGGTCTCCTCGATTTCTTTCAGCCCTCGCTTTCGAGGGGAGAGAGAGGAGGCGAGGGACAGAGAAACAATTACGGTTCGCAAAGAGACGGGACACTTGTGTTTTTTCTTTTTTCTTTTTTTTTTTTTTAAAATGACATCGGCCTTCGCTGTTAAAACGTTAATTACTTTTATTTGAGAGAAAAAAAAGATTACCGACCTCCGACGAGTGAAGGCTGTTGAAGAGCCGCCGGATGAAAAATCACGAATGCTGCTCGGCTTCCCTTTTTCGGGCGTGGCAAAGAAGACGAAGGTTCCGATTAATTCCGAAGGAAAATTTCAGTTTGAAATGGACCGCGTTTAAACTCCCCCTCTGCCTTTTGTTTTTCCTTCGTCGAATCGAAAGTAAGGAAGGAAACTTGTTGAGCTCTGATATTTTCTTCTTCGATTCGATTTTTGGAGGAAAGGGTATTCCATATGGTAGCTTTTCAGCAATTCGATGTTCGGAGTTCTCGCGATGGACGATTAAAGTCGGCGTATCGTTGTGTGAAACGTAACTATGAAGATATTAATTTTTTCGAAGAGAAAGAAATCGAAGTGTATTTTTTAGTAATCGTTTGACTTCGATTTACGAGAAGAAATATTTTGAAATATTTTTAGAATTATTATTTGGATTATGGTTTAAAGTTATTGAGAAAATGATTATACAGAGTGAATGATAATTAAAACATAAGCCTCGAAGGAAAAGATCTGTGATAGTCTTGGAAAAAAAATTCAAAGTTAATATTCTCGAGTGAGTGACCGAACAATGGAGGAAGATGTTTAAATTCTGCGATAAGGACATTCGTTAAATTTAAATGAATTATTCCTCTTAGGGATGATGGAGGGAGTAATTCTACTTTATCTATGCCTCGTCTCAAATATTTCCAGAGTAACACGTCTTCTTCTGTCAAATAATTATACATTCCGGTTAATATTTGCAGAATTTCATTGCGAAACGAAAATTACCTAAAATATTCAGGCGAATCTCTTTTGTACAATTGGGGCTTCGTTTTAACCGACTTGCCTTTCACACCAGATGCTTTGAAGCTAACTAATACGATCCTCCGCCTGTTTCAACTAGTTTCACGTATCGCACGAAACCTCCATTATCACGTTTTCGCGTTTAAAAGAGACAGGTCACGTTTCTCGATACGAAACGAGCCTCGTAGATTCGACGCTTTTTTTCTTTTTCTCTTTTTTCCTTTTTTTTTTTTTTTTCAGTCGTATCACGAATCATGTTCGAAGTTCATAGTTCTGAGAGAGAGAGAGAGAGAAAAAAAAGAAAGAATATATTTTCCATTTTACAATCCCCTAAAAATTATTCCAGCTTCCCCCCGTCTCTTCCCTCTCCAAAACTCTCTCCGTTCTCCGTTGAATACCGAGAAGAAAAAAACTTGTTAGTGCCAGAAGCAGAGAATATATTGTGCGCGAGGAATAACTTCCGATTACAGTTTCGACAGATTTTTGTTTCGCGCCGCTGTCACCGGACGCGAACTCTCTCCGCGCGTTGTCCGCGTGGAAAAAACGTTTTTCCCATGCACAAAGGATACACCCTCTTAATTTGCAATTCCGTCTTTATCGACGTTTGTCAGCGACGACCAATCAAAACCGACGTCTCTAAATCCAATATAATTTCTAAATAAACCGTCTCGATCAAGAACGAACAAGAATTCCAAGGATCAACGATTTCTCGATACTTCGTTCGAAGGGAGAACATTTATCAATATAAATAATATCCCTCGTGGATATTTAACGAAGGAATTTCACCACTCGACTTTGAAGAGAGACAGAGAAAAAAAAAAAGAGAAATAAAATCCAATAGCAAGAAACATTAGCAGCAGCACTCTCCTCCTATTTAAAGAACAAAATCCAATTGCAAGAAACGAGTTTGAACCGGCGTACCAGCGGCAGCAGCATCAGTAGCAGCAGCAACCCTCTTTTATTTAAAAAAAAAAAAAACTTCAATTGCAACGAAGTTAATTCCATCTTCCAGCTTGTAACGCTATCTTCTTCTATCTTTATATATATATATATATATTCCACATTCTCGGCTCGATTTCATCGAGTGGATTAAGCTCGTTTCAAGCTCGAAGATCATCCCTCGGTATTGAAAAGTATATTCGTCTGGCCGTGAGTCGCGTGGCATGAAATTCAAATGGACGTATTTACAGGGGGAGGTGGACCAACCACGTTATAACATTCTTCTCGAAGGATGTGTGAGGGGCATGTGAGGAGGGAAGGCGCGTGGAATAATCGGGCCGTTTATAAGCCGGCTGCCGCCGTGCCTTAATCTTCGGGAGGAGGGGGAGGAGGGTCGTGCATTAAGATGACGAATAACGGGTGCAACATGGCGGAAATTTGACAGGGTCGGGATCTCGACGGATAACGACATCTATCCGCTATCATTTCGCCAATTTACTGTGTAATTCGTAATGCAAATGTTAATGGCCCCAGTGAAACACACGGGCAACCGGCCCGGTCCGGCGTATTATATTGATCCTCCTGATCGATATGCCACAGGAAACCGGTTAATATTATATGGGTAGGGTAATTTATAGCGATCGATATTCCCAATGTTTATACGTATGATTATTCGAATAGGAATGAATTTAGAGTTTTCCGTTTAATCGCGTTTAATCTCGTGGTGAATCTCGTATTCGCGTGTTCGTCGCTCGAAACGTTGGTGTGGTTAATTTTTAAACGTTTCTTTTCTTTTCTTTTTATTTTCATGTATCGATGCTCGTATATATATATATATAT